AGTGTGTAGGAGAAACTATGGTGATCATTCTAAGGTAATGAAAACACACTGATTCTTATATTCAGGTGATTATACGCTAATGGAAACATACCTATGAATATTATTCAATTTCTCCTCCTAAATGTTACACACTGGACCTTTAAAGCAAACCCCCTTCCATTACCTTGTAGCTCAAGGACTTTCAAATTGCATTTGACGGTTGAAACAGCATGCTGCTGAGGTTTCATATATTGTGTGGTGGAAAAGAGGACATATTGCACCATAAGAGAGACATAATCAAGACAATATCTATAGCAGCTTGCACACAATTCAACAACACAGTGCACACATAACAGAAGACTAATAATAAGAATAATATAAAAGCAAATAGGAGGTGTTCTTATGGTTAATGCTCAATATTCTGTCTGAATACTATATTACAACCTCTCTGCTCTGTGTGCACACCAGAGGCTTCAGTTTTCTCACTCTTTTCAAATAAAAGTTCTTCCATAATAAATATTTAAAACGTTCATCCTGACATTGTAACCCTTTTAATTTGTGATTTATATTTTAGACTTATACTCAGAGACACTGTGTACACATGCTAAGTCTTCCCCCCTTACACTTGTTCCTACACCTCGGCTCTATTCTGTTCCTCAAGATACCACACAAAAACAAATGCTCATGGTTGAGTTTGACGTTTGCCAGGCAGCAGTGGTTGGTTATAAAGAATGGCATACAGCCATGAGTGTAATTGAAAAGAATTCTTCAGCCATATATATGTATGACTGAACCAGCGGAGCTTTAAAACGTGAACAGCCTCAAGGGGAGCTGATGAAAATACTGCAAAGCATCCTCTGCACACTCAACCCAACAGGAAAGCGCATGGCAATTTTCTTTGCTGAAGTCGGTAAACACAGATGGAGTGTGAATAAATGAGAAATCTTTATGTTACCTGCACTAAACTGCTTCAACACAACTCAGTGAATGACATAATGTCTCTATTTTTCAACCCGTATGTAATTCAGGCAGAGAGGAGACGAAAGCAGTAGAAAGTTTAGCAATACAAGCAAACTGTAACTTGCTACAGATATAATGGTAAAATATGTTGTCTGTGAAATATGTAGTTGTCTAATAAACATGCCAATTTAATCTCTACAATATGCCAACAATAGAACTATAGAAGAATTCATAAACCGGTAATAGCATACTGACTGTGACAGTAGTCCAAAGGTAGGCTTCATCATTCATATTATTTGTTTACTGACTACTTTTCTTAGATATTCAAAATGTTTAAATCTGAGTGAAATAAAATAGATGATATGATGCATTTACCAAAGGCTCACTTGCCTGCCCGATTACACGTCCTCAGGACTGTATGGGCGTGTACACATTGTGGTTGACTGACACCTCTCCCTTTTCTCCTGTTAGCTCTGTTAGGGTGAGAAAAACAATTACACTTTAATTAGTTTGGAGTTTGGAGAGATCATGTAATTTGGTAATTTGTGCAGGACCTTTAAAAATTCACCACAATTTAACCTCTAGTCTTGTTTGATGCAGTCTTTATTAAAAGGTGTACATTGTTTATGTTGTATATTTTGTACAGGGTTATGTAAGTGTAAAATGTCCACATGTTAGCCCACACATGTGTGAAATGGACATTGTGGGGGTTTGAGTAAGAGGGGGACTTGATTAATCCACACTACACTTGTTATTTCTTACTCGACACTGCGGGATCATTACTAAGAGCTGAGTGGCAAGGATGTGCCAACATGTGCTGCATAAGGTAATGTATACTTCAACAGCAGCTCTTGTCACTCACTCACTCACTCTGGTGAACACACACCGCTGCTGTCTCCTGCCAGCCTATCTCAGTTTTAAAAAGGCAGCTTTTCTTTCTCGGTTTTAAGTAGGAAAACAAGACTCTGCCATTGTGCATTCTGTCTGATCCTGTGTGCCCAAATTGCGAGCGTTTCATCCCTTCTCTACTTACATTCCTTCATCCTCTTTGTTTCTTTTCTGCTGAATGATGCTGCTGTGTGCCCGCTCTGTGTGGGTGGCCCAGTAAACAGTCTGCTGCCGCTCTCATCATTGTCTTTTACAAAGATATCAAATGAATTCAGTTTGCATAAACAAACACACTGAAATGACCAGCAGGCACACTGTAAGAGGTTTCTCTTGCATTCAATTAGAAGAAAGACTGTGGAGATCAATTTCAATACAGTGAGGACTATTCTCAGTATGACAGGCAAAGGACAAAATAAAAGCTGATTAACAACATACCATGCAACATAATTGACAAATAATGAATGTATCTGTCAGATCTTTTCAATGATATAATGCTTTGAATGCAGCCTATGTCATTTAAATGAACACACTGTGTTTTCTTGACGGAGATAAAGTGGGTTATTTATGTGGTTAGATAAAGCTTTTTAAAACAACAATGTAACCCTCCTCTCCATCCCTACCCCATCAATAGCGGCAGTCCACTCATAAGTAATTATCCCTCGTACTTCGCTGAGCAATAGGCCAACAGATAGACAGAGAGAGGCCCACTCATTTAATTCACTCTCCCTCAGCAGCTTTTTCATCCTTGCGCATGCTAGCAGTGCATTCCCTGAGTGTGACAGAGGCTTTAAATCAAATGTGGCTACTCCAAACAGCTCTGTAATCCCATGATGGGAGTCACAGGGGATCTCTGCTGCAGATTTCTGCTCGGATGGGCATTCAACGCCAAAGAACTGTGGTCCTGAAAAAAAATACAGCTGAACACTTCACACTGCAGTGATGGAGGAGTTACCGCTTCAAAATGAAATGTCTTTTGAATTAATGTTTTATTGAATGCATGACATTTCCATTTATTAGTACATACAAACGTAAAAAAAAAAGTACTGCATGTAAGTAGAATATTAACCTAAAAAATGAGCTCAAACTCACCTGCAGGTATGTGTCTGACTAGTGATTCAGATTGGCCACCAGTAGTTTGTCTCATTTGAACAACAGCAACTGGACACTCAGTGGGGCCAAAATCCCCAGGTTCATCGTGTGTTTAGTCTGTGAAAGAACACCACAATATTACAAAATCAACTGAAATGACAATGCATTTTCTTAAATAAAGTTGTTGAGAAGGTTGTTACATAGATACACAAAAGAGAGGTGGTTGTAGTGGAGGAGGGGGTGTCAAAACAGGCAAGCCTACACTTACTTTTTGCCCCGGGCAGCACCTCTGACCAGGTTAATAAAGCCATGGGTGGCAGGAATCAGGTGGGTATTAGGTATGCACCGATCTGCTTTAGTTGGCCATATGACTCACGCTCTCTACAGTCAATATGTTCAAGTGTTGCACATGCAGATTGAAATGTCATTGTCTTACAATCTAGTGGTGGGCAACACATCTGCATATACCATCAGTAGGCAGTAAAGTTGTGTTTGACACTGAACCACTTGATTAATTGTCTTTAAGCAGCTCTGCTCATCCATGCATCTTCAGGGAAAAACGGAACTCTATAATGCATTACAACGCAGAGATTGTTTTGCACCAAAGAAATGTAAACGCTAAATAGGTGATTCCTACCTTTTAGCAATTATTTATTTCTTTTTTGGCAAACTGGCTTTTTAAATCCCCAGAATCAAGCCCACTAATTACTGCTTCATCTCTGGCCCGTGGTTGTTCTCAGTTTATTTGAGAAAATGACCTCCCTCCCAGATTAACAGGTTATCTTTGTCGAAACTCCCTAACAACAATACTGGGGCAAAGTTGGCCGGAGCATATTTTTTAACTTAGATAGATAGATAGATCTAGCGTCTCTTGCTGAAAGCTCTGCGATGCTCCAGGGAGAGCCTGGGCAGATGTCTCAAACTCTGGTTACTCCTCTAACAGTGATGCTGCACAGAACTGCAGTAACTCAAGCGGGTGCGCAGCAGCTGACAGGTCCAGTTCCTTGTTCTTCAAGACACTGCTAGTCAACTTGAATCTCAGCAGCACAGTATGCTATAATGTAACCATCAGTGCAGTTTCATTTTTTTAAAAGCTGAAAAAGTGCAGCTTCCTTGTGCTGAGTGCCTGTCTCCTCTCATTGTCGGCAGCTATGATCCCGAGGGCCTCTTTTATTTTACCATCATTCTGGTGGAGGGCTCTTGTTGAGTCTGCACCAGATGCCCATATGGTGCTTGAGAAAGACTTCAGTGTCAGATGCATCAGTGATGCTGTTCTTTAACATCTTATTCCACTGGTGAGTGTATGAAGAGCCAAAAACATGTAGGGCTACAGAAGTTCATAAACAGACTTGCCTCCCTGCAGCTTCTTTCAACAGCATTTACACCCACAAAATTCAATGAATCGGCTGCACATGCAAATATCTTTACGTTCAAAATATTTATTATTGTTATTCACTGTAGCATTATTATACAGTAACCTGTTACAATATATCAAGAACGGCTGCATGTTGTAATAGCTGAAAGTCTATTCTTTATCTTCTTTATTGCTATAGTCTTCCTCAGTGATTAAGTTGTTTGTATGAATTTGATTTGTCTTGACATAGATCAGTCTTATTGTGCAGTTACAGTCTCAACACTAACTAACACTTTCATTATTCCAACTGGTCTTCAATAACAACAATGTTCTGCCTGAAAGTTAATGAGATTTCACTGCAGTAACTGCAACAAACCGTGTGACACTCAAACCACTGACACACTAATGACACTCTAATGTGCTTCAATAATGCACATTCACAAACATGGAATCAGTGCGAAATCATTGCTGTGATTGACTCGTTCCCCACACAGTCCACGCAATCCAATGTGGTGTGCTGCGTCATCTGAGGACTGCGGGACCCACAAACATCGGTGGTTCCCCCTGCAGTGCGAGAGATCAGCGATGGGACTGGAGACACAGAGAGAGAGGGAGAGAGGGAGGGAAGGAGGCGAGTGCTGCTGCAGAACAACATTCAGCCTGGGCTGAGGAGTTAAACGGTGCACAGCGGCACATCTGCTTCATCCAGGCATTAATCCTGTTGTGATAGCCATGGTAAGTTCACTTCTGTGCTCCATTAGTACAGCTCTGCCGTGCAGTTCTCTCTGCTGCATGAGGACTGCAGGGATGTTCATTGGACTAACCTTGAGAAAAATGATTGCAGCCAGCAGGGCTGTTTAAAGTGTGCAATGTGCATGTAAAGTGGCTGGTTTAGTGACTCTGCTTCACTGGGGCCTGTTCAGATGTTATGTACTGCAGCAGTGCTGTTGCGTAGGAAGCGATTATTCACAGGTGACACTGACAATGCAGACCTCTAGCAGTGCACACAGCTGCAGCATACATACTCGACTCCTGTATTCTGTTGTTATGATAATATTATGTCATCCGCAATGAAGTAAAACACCAACCTATATATGTGTTGAGAGTATATTTGCATTATCTCCTTTACAATCCATCATGGATTTACGCAGCCACAGAGAATGTCACATGCTGTGTCAAAATACAAACTAGTCTTCAACATAACCTATAGACAGAGAGCTTGTAATGATAGTGAATACTTGACCAGAATAGGCAGCAGTAACTTCCAGGAGGGGCTGTGTTTTTCGTCAAGGTGATCCTTCATCCGTCACTGTCAGGGGAGATTGTTCACATACTCTGAAGAGAGCTTTAAAATGTGTTATAGTCTCTTCCTGCTGTTCTTTATGTCAAATATATGCAGTAAGCACAACAGACCAGTTTTGTATATATATTCATATACGTATTCCTTTGTTTACTATTGGCCTCTACTGAGATAAGCCTGTTTCTCTCACAATTTTCCAAACACTTTCTTTTCCTTCAGCTGGCACCTGGCAGTAAAGATAAAAAAGTGCTAAACAAGCTTTAAGTCTTGACTGTCCTGTGAGGACTATCTCTTCCTTTCATGTGGGAGTGAGCTACACAGCTGTAACTTTAAAAATGGGTATGTGTAAGAGACTGCTGCATGAAAGCATGACTCTCAAACCAAACACAGTTAAGTTGGCTAACCTTATTTATTTTCAGAGAGCTGAAGTAATCAATTATCTGCTACTTTTTTGTCTTCCTCACTGAGCAGCAAAACTCCAAACACCCAAAGTGTGAGTTCTCTGGTGGGATGAAAGAGACAGATGTGGATTTTCACAAGTTGTTTGGAGTATATTATATGAAGTTATAGTCTATTGCTGGTTTTTAATCATCCATGTTTGTACACTAGTACAAGTCCTGCCAGAATATTCATACTGCTGTTAATACTGCCATGAAGTTATTTGTCCCTAAACTTCTCCTTAGGGTGAAAACCAGGACACTGAATATGTGTAGCTGTTGTCCTTGGTATCTTCACCTTTGTATTTTTAGGTCTTTTTTGAGCCCCTGGAACACTTTTGTCTGGTTTTCTATTTTTGGTAAACCTGCAATAATCACAATACTCTGTTGTGTCCTCTCCAGCAGTTCTCAAAGCAGCCCCGTCCTCTGGCTTTTGTGATTTTCATCCTGACTTCTGCCCTCTCAGTGACTTCCCTGCCTGCTGACATAGAGAAGGGAAGGAGAAAGGTGGTGCATGTGCTCGGTAAGGACAGTTTTTTTCAAAGCTCCTGACTTTGCTCATCATTCTGCACTGATCTGCATAACTGTGCAGCATGTGCTAGAAAATATGTCAAAAACACGATGTCACTTCAGAGTTATGTAGATGACACCTTTGAAACCAGGAAAAATGGTCTTGCTAAATCTCATCCAGGACTAAAAGATCCACAGAAACAAAAGACAAAACGAGAGATAAAATGCAATGCTCAAACCTTCGAAGTCCATGTTTTCCAAACATGAAGAATCCAGTGAAGGAGGAATATGCACATAAACACGCACAGTACTTTAAACCGTATTCCTGGAGTCAATGCTTTAGTAACTCTAGAATATTAATGCATTATCAAAGTTGTTAATATCCCATATAGCACTACTTCCAACTATTCACCCGAGGACTGTAATACATTCCTAACATTTTACCTACTAAGAAAATTGATGACATCAGGGATTAAACTAATTGCCTGCATGAGACCTGGCTGTCCATCTTCTCTGTCAATATCTGTCTGTTTTATGTAGAGGTTACATTTCTTCTTGTATGAGAAGATACTTACAAATGACTGAACTCCTGAATTCCTGCCTGATAGGTATGGTAGGTCTTTATATGCTTTACATATAAAGCAAATATTTGCAGACTGAGCAAAGTAATTATAGCCATCGGATAATAATGATGGAGTAAAGTAGAATAAAAAGTTTCCTTCTGAAATGTTGATTTCAGGTATAAAGACAAAGACATATAGAAAAATGACTATCCTATTAGAGATGTGACCACCTGATGAATGTAAGTCCTATATTTATTCTCCTTTGGGGGCTGTTTTAGTTTCCAATAACCCTTGAGAGGAATATGTGGGCCCTAAGAATTTTGACACTGTTTTTTGGCTCATCCCCAATTTTGTTTCTGCTGTCTGTCTGGCAATGTAGAGCTGCCAGTTTTACCATGACAGTGTAAGGCAGGTTCACACTATGTAGTCTCGCAACCCCCAGATCTGCAAACACCAGCATTAGTTGTTCACTTCAGTCCTGCTGCCAGGGATGCCTGTACACTGGTGTCTCCTTAATGAAATGGTGACATGGAGTTGTTTGTCTGAACATCTGTCTGTTGCAGCATTGCCGTCAATAATATGCTTAAAGTTTTGATTAAACACTACTTGATGCTTTCATGGCTGCTGGTGATAAACAACTTTGCAGAGCGCAGTAAGCAGTGACAGGACTAATTGCTGGCTGGTGTGGATAATTGTAGGTGCCTTTATCTGGTCACAAAATAGGAGAAAACCTCTTGTAGCCGCTTGTTAAATGTTTTAAATGTTTACACCACACTTGTGTTTGTAGTCTTTGGCTGCCTAGACACACGCAAACAGTGTCTGGGCGAATGTCTGCCAAAAATGCAAACTAGGTCTTGTTATTGCCCATTTGGAAGAACAGGTCTGTGGTTACCATTAGTCTTGGGTCATTTTGCTCTCTAAAGAGGTTGAGGTTCAAATCTGGAGTGGGTAATCTGATGACAGCTCTGCACAGAGAGCGAGCAAGCTGGACACTGGACTAAAAAACGTTCTAGGTTTGATATTGATAAACTGGATGGTCAGGCACTAATGTGACAGCTCAAGTAAACAGCACACTCTTAGCTGATTCAATTTTGCGGGCATCTCACTGACATCCCTAACAAAGAGAATCAGATAAGAGCTGTAAGTATTGGCAGTGTCAAGAGCGAAACCGCAATACAAGGACTTTACTGCACATATTTGAATAGCAATGGAAAATTCCTTATGCATTTGCTTGTATCCACCATTTTATTATTATTTAATGTATGAATCGTTATGTTTTAGTTGCCTTAGAATGAACCATTTTTATCCACAGATGCCATTGGTCGCCTTTTGTTTCTCCACTCTTGGAAGGGGAGTTGTAAGCTGAAACTTCACCACTCTTTCTGCTTCTTTCTGGCTCTTTCCAGCCAATATAGTAGCACTGTATCAATGACAAGCATAAAGGTCATAAACATCGGTCAAAACCCATTAGCAAATAAAAAACAAATAAAAATAGAGAGAAAGCTGAGCAAGATTACAGAACGTCAATTACAGTATTTTGATAACCCTTCTTCTCTGTCTTCCCACAGAGGATGACACCGGAGCAGTAATAGTTCAGACAGCTCCTGGTAAGGTGGTAACACATCGTGGTGGCTCCATCACTCTGCCCTGCAGATTCCACCATGAGCCAGAGAACTCCGATCCTGCTCGCATCCGGATTAAATGGACCAAAGTGACTGATGCACTGCAGTTTGAAGATGTCTTTGTGGCACTTGGAAGGTAAAATCTGCATCTGCATCATGTGTCTATTGTTTTAATGAGTTTTCAGTTAGGGCCCAGTCCAACAGATGTTGATTTTATTGATTTTATTTCACTGCTACATAGTAAAGATGCTTAGCACACATTCACAGTGTAGTAGGCTATTTAATGTAAGCATTTTCACAAAATGAAGTTAGTTAACCGAGATTTGTGAGCAGGGCCACGCCTCAACCACACCTCTAATCTATTTGTCTCAGTTTTCTCTCTCTCTCCCTCATCCATTTACCTTCCTACCTCATCCCACCCTCTGTCCATCCCTATTCACATCCATTCCTTTTCTCTTCCCTCCTTTCATCCCCTCTTATTAATTCTGCGTGTACCCTCCTATCTCTCCTTTTTGAGGTACTGTTTGTGGCCCGTAATTAGCCTCACTGAACCTCCTCCCCGGCCTTCAAGATTGGCCTAAATGGACAACTTCCTCCCCCACTTTTATCTACTTCCTGACAACCATTCCCCCATACTCAGCATCCAATACGTTCTCATTTCATTAAACCTTTCAAATCACATTGTTGGTGTCGTCCCTGCTAGTGAACCCACTGAAATAGCATAAAGAATGCATGGCTCTTTTTAGGAGACTATAAAGTAAAGTATGCTGCCTTCAAAGCATTTCTCAAGTAAAAGCATATCTCAGTTATTTTGGCCATAGCTACTAAAAAAAAAGGAAAGGAAAAAAATCTTTAATTAAAAACATTCTGTTAAATCTCTTCAGGCAGCAGCGTGTGTTTGGATCATACAGAGGCCGTGTGTTTTTGGAGCAGGCAGGACCAGGTGACGCCTCAGTGATCATCCAAAATGTCACACTGGAGGACTACGGACGCTACGAGTGCGAAGTCACTAATGACATGGAAGACGATACAGGATTTGTCAACCTCGACCTAGAAGGTCAGGAATTAAAGATTTAACTGCCGGAGATTTTGTTGAAGCTGTGACATTTCTAATGCTCCCTTGGCTACTGTAGTGAGCTCACAAGAGACTGAAGTAAAATTCATCAATTTAACAGCCTCAGACTCAACAGCAGGTCTGTTTCTGTCACCTTTAGGAGTGGTGTTTCCCTACTACCCCCGTGAGGGGCGCTATAAGCTCAACTACCACCAGGCGGAGGATGCCTGCAAACAGCAGGACGCCATTCTGGCCTCCCACTCTCAACTGCATAAGGTAAATTTATGCTCAATGCCTTTCACGATCAAGGCAGATTAGAAGAAGTCACAGATCACTACCAAAGATTTATTAGAGCTATATAGAGCTCACCTTCCATAGCACATTTATTTATATGCTACTCTTTTAGTTGTAACAATACACTTACTGGCTGCAACCCTCAGTCATAAATTGTTTTAGAGCAGCAGTTAGTCTGAAATTAAGAATATGCATCTGACCAGACAATTTACTGCAGTTCCATCCCCGTATTTTAAAAGCCATATGCATTAAAGTCCAGAGTAATGGAGTTATTTCAGAAGAGATAAACCAAATTTGTTTGATAATGTATTTAATCCTCTAGTAGAACTCACTAACCTACATTATCTCCCTCTACAGGCCTGGTTGGAAGGGCTAGACTGGTGTAATGCTGGATGGTTGGAGGACGGCTCAGTCCAGTACCCTATCTCTCATCCCAGAGACCAGTGTGGCCGCAAGGACACCCCCGCTGGCGTTCGTAACTATGGCTACAGGCACAAAGAGGATGAGCGCTATGACGCTTTCTGCTTCACTTCTAAGCTCAATGGTGAGAAACACTGAGGGATGGAGGTTGGCAGCCATGGCTGTGTGCGCATGCATGTCTGTATCTGAAGATCAGAAACACTTTGTAGCTCATCTATATGATCATACAACTAAACACAAACATCCAACTAAGTATCCAGCATCTGTGGCTCATGATTAGAAGAGAATAACACACTGGCGGAGCTGGATTGTTGTGGTACCGTATAGGAAGAGGATATATCATGAGCACTGGACTGTTGGGAAATTAGGGCTCTGATCTGTGCCTGTGATCTTGCAGGCCTAAGGCCATTGGATTTAGATCAGGCTGTGTGGATTCTGCCCTGCTAGGGCCACAGTGTCCTCTGGGTGCCAATCATTGCCTTTCATCTCCGAGTTCTTTGATTTACATCACATTCCCACAGAGAGTCTGCTAGTGTCTCCATCACACACATGCCACCTCCAGGTTCACAAATTGGGAAAGTCTGGATTAGTTTTTACACTGTGAAAGATGTCAGCAATCAATGTTTTAAGAATCAATATTTAAACACTGATTATTAAAGGAATAGTTTGTTATTGTGGGAAATACACTTATTCGCTTTCTTGACGAGAGTTGGATGAGAAGATTGGTTGATTGACAGACTGCCATGTTTATGTCATGTCATGTTAACTATGAAGCTAGCAACTGGTGAGCTTAGCCGCTAGCAATGGAGGGAAACAGCTAGCCACTCACGCTTCCACTGTTTTCAATGTAAGCTGGGGCAAGGAGAGGGAATTCCAATAGCTATTTTCTATTTGAATTTGAATGATGAATGAGATAAGCTAGGCAGATGGAGCAAGAACGGTGAGGAGGCAATATGTGTTTAGTAGCTCAACAGAGCCCAGATTGATTTGTTTACAGCTTACCTGGTGTTAGTTAGCGAAGTTAGTTACTTCTTGTTAGCTATAATGTCCTGTATATTTTGGACTATGGTGGACAATAAAACAGCAAAACAACACACATAAGAATTATACCCAGCATTACAATATTATTTAGTGAGATTCAGAAATGATGGTAGACTCATTTTGTTGCCTTTGTAGAGAGACAGGCTAGCTGTTTCTTCCCTTTATCCAGTCTTTATGCTAAGCTAAGCTAGCTACCTTCATATTTGCCTCACATATATGAGGGGCCTTTCATCTAACTACTCATTTAAAACATCGACCATATTAGTGAAACATAGCTCCATGTTGGTTAACAGGGAATTTCAAATAAATCATTTCGGAAAGACTGTATGTGCCTCTTTGAAGTTTGAAAGAGAATTCAAAACTTCTCATGCCTTCTAAAAACTAAATAGATTTTTTTATTATCTAGATAAAAGACAGTGCTCTTCATTTGAAGCAAATACAATTTTGGGATAGTCTCAGCTGAAAAAAAGAAGCAGTAGTGCTTTTCCTCAGTAAGAAAAAGGTAGCATGACACAAACCTCAAACGACTGCTCATGGCTTCCCCTGTGTGTTAATTATTGTGGACAGTCTGTTGTGGGCAGGAGATTTCAGCAGTGGTCGTGACCGATACTGTTGCTCAGTCCAGCTGGAAGGTATTTACCGAGGGTCCCCTGGGGAAATATGAGACAATATCCTGCCTCTCTAATATCCAGCAGTCACATAAACAAGCATAAAATCAATAACTGAGCCAAGTGCAAAGCTGAGGTTGCAGACATGATTTTCATGATAGTTTTCTGTTTAGAGAAAACCACCAACCTCTGGTTCTTTATCCCTTGCTCCTTTCTTAGGAGAAGCTACCTTCTGACTCAGTTCTGTTCAACAATTCAGCCAATCAAGATACCATTTTCTTTAATACTGCCAGACGAAAAGTCTTCCCAGAGGTTAGATGAAAGCAGAAATGGAAGCGTTTTAAGAGTAATTTTGACTTAGGGTGCTGTCCACTGATGTAGTATTGCCTTTCGATTTTGAGCAGCTGCCCAGACGGTTGTTGGAATGATTTGATATTCTGAACACAATCAGACAGAGATGCCAGGAGAACTGAGAATATCTACCCTCAGGGCTCAGCTTGTCTCTGGGGGCTTCACTCTCTCATTCACTTCTCACTCTTTCCTTTTGCCCTCCTCAACAATACACTTGCTCTGTTTTCCTTCACCTTTTCTCATGTTCTTACAACAAAGACCCTCTCTTTATCCTCTATATCCCCCTAGGCAAAGTGTATTTCCTCAAACGCTTCAAGAAGGTGAACTATGTTGAGGCGATGAAGGCTTGCATTCGAGATGGCTCAGTGGTGGCCAAAGTGGGTCAGCTGTACGCTGCATGGAAGTTCCAGCTGCTGGACCGCTGTGAAGCCGGCTGGCTGGAGGATGGCAGCATCCGTTACCCCATAGTCAACCCCCGCTCTCGCTGTGGAGGATCCCATCCAGGCGTCCGACACCTGGGCTTCCCTGATAAAAAATTTCGCCTCTATGGGGTCTACTGTTTCCGTGAGAACAAGGATGAAACAGCAGGTGGTACAGAAACGACAAATAACCTTAAAGATAGTTTGACAAGGAAAAACAGCATCCCCATGAATGCTACAAGGGTGATTTAAAGTGGGAAGTCTCAGAGCAATTTAAGATTTGACTGCAACAACTGTCGCCTAGCAGCCAGACTCCATTCATCGCTTTTAAAGTTAAACACTCACAGACAAGATGTACTCATTTGTAGATTTGCCAGAGAGAAGAAGCGAGGCTGTGTAAAATTGAGAATGACGTCTTTATTAGGGTGATTTTCCTTTCGTCTCCAGTCAGTCAATCATCTTAAGGAGTGAGTATGTTAGCACATCTGTCGCCGGAAAACTATAAGATTAAACAGCAGCTTGATCATCACTCAGGCACACATCAGATCAGAGAGTCTGCCATGAATATCCTTGTTTACTCGTGTGTGTGTGTGTGTGTGGATCATATTTTGGCCCCGGCTGTGGCTCCTGAGCCCTGAACTCCAGTCTAAGCCAGAATCCCAGTGCCAGGATGAACACATTCATTACTGGGTGAGACAGGATGATCTGCCTGACTGTATGGAAAGAATCCGAGATGCCCTGTAAGTTTCGATTGTACCAAGTGTAATGACCTGTATCTTGGTGCCATGCTTGGTTAGCAACCCACTGGCACAATGTGAGTCTTTTTTCTCATTAACTAAGACCTGGTAATCTCATCATTAGAGCTGAACAGATCAAGTATTAAATATTGCACTAGCTCTAAAATATTTGCACTTTAACTACATAGGGCTTTATTTTATGATAGCATCTTAGCTTAGAATTAAGCAAGCATGTGTTGCTTGGCTAAGAGTAGTGGCTGAGGCTGAATACGCAGAAATACTAAGCTACAATAATTGCTATTTACCTCACATACTGCACTTCTAAGCTACATGGGCCTGCAATGCACTATAAATGTTACATGCAGCGACCTTTATTACAGAGTATGTTTGCAACTGCAGAATGGATGGGGGGGGGGAATTAAAGTCTTGAAATTGTTGATTTGAACAACGTGTTTGTGTGCAGTTTTTTTCTATATCAAGAGCTCTACAGACTGATGCAAATTAAAAGAAAAACACTGACTGAGTGAAGAAATATAGAGGATGCACTTCCTTTCATACAGGGTAGGAGAGATCACTAAATGGTCTGATGGTAGAATGGACATGGACTGCAGTTATATAGTGCTTTGATCTAAAGTAAAGTTTGCCTCATTCACCCGTTCACACACATTCATGGGTATAAAAAGGCCTGGCTACCCCAAATTGGTGTCAAATGCTGTCAAATTTAACTCATTAATTTAGATTAATAAAACAAATAATAATGTAAATAATAATGTTAAAAACTGTAATTAATTTAATGAACTGTTATGGCCACATTTTAAGTGATAGGCTTTGATTCAATGAAAAAGTATTTGGAAAAATGTCTGATGGTTTTGAAATAAAACAATTTAATTCAATTCAATTCAGTTTTCAAATAGAGCAGGTCTAGACCATGCTCCTTATAAATATAAAAATATTCACCACCTTTAGATATTTATATTCAATGCTTTATTAACGGCCATAATAGTGTAATGTTTAAAATAGCTTAACTTGGGGGTTTTCCAAGCAAATATTGAGTTTTCATGAAATGAATCCAGTGGTTGTTGAGAGGTTTCATTTGGGACCAAAGTGGTGGACGGATAGACAAACTAGTAGACGGATATTATCATTAATGCATCCAAAGCATGGTTAAAAATGATAGAGGTTCAATACTTAAGATAACTAATGAGCCTCAGGATGCTTTTTTAAATAGTTATAAATCAATTGTGTGAGTAGGAATCACAGCTGATTAGTGATGAATGTTTCATGTGCTTCACTTCGCCTCGTGTGCTCCAGTGTTTGCCAGAAGAGAAACTGCTGAGCAGTGAACCTGGCTCTGAGTGGGAGCATATTGGTGTTGCGCCAACACAGCAGAACAAACCATGTCATCGTCATAGCAACTGGCAGCATGTAATTAAAGTCAAGTTCATCGCAAGTCCAACATCGTGAAATAAT